TATATATATATATATATATATATATATATATATATACACATACATACACACACACATATGTATACATATATGTGCTTTAAGAGATAGATACAATTGAAACGTCTGAAAGTAGGTAGATTGAATGGAGAAGGAAGATCGAACATCAATCGTCTTAATGACATCCCGTGATTTCAAAGGCTCTTTTGTCGAAGAAGACGGAGAACATCGTATTTAGGTATCATTGGTACTTGAAAGGTTTTAAGAATACACGAAGACAAGCAAAATTATCCGCGTCGTTCGTTTCCAGCAAATTTTCGCGTATCACAAAAAATAGTAAATTCATTTATAAAAATTTTTACTCGAATTTTTTATTAAAAACAGATTCAAAATTCCACAAAAATATGAGATAAATTTTCTGTCACTACCCGCAGTTGGATCTTAAAGGATGATACAACATTATTAGAAAATAATTTAAATCACATTAATTAATAAATTATGATTTAAGCAAACTAAATTGTTTCGCGCTTTTCTCGTTTGTCCGTAATGTCGAACGTTCTTTCATCAAGAATAGTTTTTTTTATCCTTTTCTCGTACCTTTTGTTCTTCTTTTTCACTTCGCCGAAAGTCGGAACAGCGCGCGAGCGCGAGCTTTTTTATTTCCTGGCACGAATCGGAATTCGTTCCCGTGGCGGGCGACGGCGGCGGTCGGGAACAAGACGCTTCCTTCGTCTGGAGCGACACTCGAGGAACCCCTAAAGATAGCGACACCCCGCCACGTGTCGACTAGCAGACTTCCGACCGTTTCGTCATTTCAACGAACACTTTCCGCGAAATTTGCGGCGATTTTAGTGCGCCAGCAATCCGCGAAATTACGTCCACTGCTTCTTTTCGCACTTTAAGCATGAGAAATGCTCATTAAATTAAGAAAATGAGATTGATGCTTAGCAATTCTTATAATATGTTATAAAAATCCGTTGAATGGATTCTGTATGAAAAAAATTTACAATCTTGTCAAATGTATAATAATTTTAAACAGAATGCATTGCTAAAAAAATAAACGGATTCAAAATGGATTGTTAAAAAATAAGTTCTTAAAAATATAAATTTAAAGTTTATTTTAATGTAATTTATTCTGATATAATTGAACAACAATTATTCTTGAGATTATTTTTTATATAGACGTAAAGAGAATAGAGATCTAGTAATTTTTTATTTTGAATTATTCAAATTTTTTCTTATCTTTAATTTAATAGTTTATTATTAAACATGATTGAAACAAAAACATTTTTTTAATTATTATTAAAATTATTATTTTCATAATTATTTTATATTATTTAAAATTAATTTGTTGGATAATTTATATAATATATTATTCATATATATATCATTTATATATGTTTAGTTGAAAATTTGTACATTATAGAAATTAATTGTCCATTATAGAAAAATTTCTCTAACAAAAAAGTACTTAAATCCTTAAATTTTTAATTATCCTTAAATTAATGTAATTATTCTAAATACAACACCAATGGCGATATAATTTAATAGCACGCCGAGCTGGTTTCTAATTAATTTCTCAGGGCATAAATACCTATTCTCCTATATAAGTTTGCATATGCACTATGTTTAGCTGGTACGTTTATGTACAATATATTACATTTACATTTTGCGTAACATGATATATGGTAAATCTCCGTAAACCCTATATAGTCTTTCTCGATCTCGCAGCCTATAATTTACATTTATGGCCGTGCCACATTACGATCTAAAAAGAATATTTAATACGAAATAACTGACTGTAACTCGACATGCGAATGAATGTTTATGTCGCACTAATTTCTATAGATTTATGATCTTTCACTTTTTTTTTGGCCTTTGCATTCTCTTCTGAAAATTATCCATAATCTTTGTATTATTTTATCTATAAAGTTATTCGACTTTAATTATACTTTAATAACATTAAGGCTAAGAAATCAGCATTTGTTAAATTTTTATTTGCAAATAAATCAATTACCAAAAATATATAATGTATTAATGTATTTAAGGATGAATATTTTTTTAACCTTTTTGGCAATAAAATCATATTATCGTTTAGATGAAATTAAAATTTCGCGTTTATTATTCTTATTAGGTTTTTATCCAACCTTTTGGTCAATGTATGTTTGTTAGACAGAAAAAGTAATAAAAAAAAATTGATACACAAGTGAAAGGTTAACAAAACAAAACAAGTTTTATGAAAAGGTCCGAAAAATATTTTTCCTTCGCAATTTCAAGTACGCTAAATGTTTTTCAGCACCAGCTGGTTACCATAATTTTTTTCCGTTACACAGATAAATCGATACAGATACAGATAAGTGCAAATAAGCACTTCGTATTTACACGCACACATATATCCGTTATCCGCAAACATATATTCTAGAATTATATAGTACACGTTTTATCCTCGTTACGGTAACGATCTCGTGTCGCAAAATAATTTCCACTTTGATTCGCTCGCGTTTTCGAGCTTGTTAGCAGCGTGAAAAAGAAAAGAAAAGATTTAATCGATTTCTATCAACATGTGACTCAATAAATTGTCAACGAATAATAGTCAACGAATCAATCGAGAAAAAGAAAGAAAGAAAAAGAGAGAGAATTATCATTTTGTAATATCAACGCCGTATGTACTGTCTGATAATGTAAGTATTTACTGAACTATTTCTCATTAGGTCGGTTGGCAAGTAATCACGGTAATGTGCATAAATTAACAGCCGAGCGCACGAGAACGTAGAGTGGTTGTAAATTTGCGAACACAGGTTAAATTCAATGTGGATAGTTTAGATTTTCGACTTTGAATTACGAACAAATCAAAACCATAGATTTTCATAAATTTCTTAACAAATAAAATAGTAGTTCGCTTCATATTATTGATTAATAATATTAAATCGATACTATATCTGATAACATATCTGATAACTTTGATTACTATATCTGATAACGTGTAAACTTTATACGTAAGATTTTGTTAAAGACAAGTCTTTGAAGGAAAGAACATTTTTTTATATCTAATTTTAATTGTCATTTTATGAATGATTATTTTTTTATTCCTTTAATACCATTTAACAATTTCTTTTCTCTGTTGCAGCAAAATTATCTCATGAGATTCGGTTACTTACCTCAGACTGATTTGGAAACAGGAAATCTGCGGATGGAAGGCCAACTCAGGGATGCTATCAAAAATCTTCAGGTAAGCAAAATTATGATATAAAGAGAGATAAGATTTCATCCCGTTATAAGATACAAACGAGAAACCGTGTAGTAATTTAATACCTCCACTCTTGTAGAAAAATACTATTAAATTAATGAAAAAGCTATTGGAACGTGAATAGTGGACAATACTAGATTCGAAGGGTTTTCCAATTATTATATTATTTCCAATCGTTTCCAATTTTTTCGTGAGTCCAATAGTATTTTTCCAAACAGGCAATTTAAATTTTTTTACGTAACCTTTTTTTATTTATTGCGCAGAATTTTTATGCAATTTTGCTTGTACAGTTTTAGAATTTTAATAAAATGTTTTATTTAGTTCTATAAATTTATAAATAAAATTTAATTACATTAACTTCTGTAATTTGACTTACATTAATTATTATTTTTGTTGCAATTTACGTAATACAATATTTAAAGTAGTACAAGAATTACCAAATAGAGTTTACATCAATAGAGTGAATTTCTTTATTTCTCGAAAACGCTATCCCTGGAAGCTATCGCGAATCGATAGGAATTCTGTCGAAAGAAATAGAAAAATCGAGCGAATGTCCTGAGGGATTTCGTCAAATGCAGCCATATATCCTTATTCTCGATTCACATGCAAATCTTCATTGAGCGAACGCGAGACAGCGGCATTCTTACTATTTTTCTCTCGCAAATGTCTGCATTCTTAATCATTGTCTGAGAGCAATAGGGCTCGATGGATTGCTGATCGATGGGATCAAACTCAAACGCGAGATGAAACTCATCGGAATGCTTCGCATATTCTAATCTCAGATCTAAAGCTCGGGTTCCATCTGTAGACTATGTCTCTCGATGGTTTTATCGATAATCACGTTTGTCAGATTCCGGGCGCGTTTCTGGTTGAAATGTTCGAAAGCGTTTATCTCTGTTCAAAAAGATATAAAAAGATCTCTTTAAACTAGAGGAAGCGATTATGTTTCCGAGAAAAGCTGCGCAAATGATAAAAGGGAAGATTTATTATTTAAAACGCTTATCGTTTAAAGGAAAATATTGATTCAAACTGCAGTGCGGTATAGATTCATTGATTATTTATTATATTTCGATGCTTTTATTTAAAAATGTTATATTAAATTTTATATGTACAGAACAAATAAAAAGAAAGAATATATTTTTATCTTTAATATAAATATTTTATATATTTATTTTGATTTATATAATTTTTTTTATAGAAAATATAGAAATTTATTATGGAAAACGATAATTGGTATTATTGCAAATAATTATATTTACAATTTCTCAATTTTTTTAAAATATTGATTAGATAATATAAAATAAATGAAATTTTCAATTTGTGATATTTTTTTTAGATAAATAAAATATGATTAAAATAAAATAATGTATATAGATTTAAAATAAAATTTCAGTTTTATGAATATGCTAAATCCTAATGAATCGTGTATTTTTCCAACTTTTAGAAATTCGGTGGTATTCCCGTGACAGGGGAGATTGACGATGCAACAAAGAAGTTAATGAAGACCAGGAGATGCGGAGTATCGGATCATCCAGATCCCAGATTCGCCAAGACAAGGCATAAGCGTTTCACCATCCATGGACAACGATGGCCGTATCGAAATCTCACCTGGAGGTAAATATACCTTATTATATCGACGAAATAGAATAATCTTAATATACAATGCAATTATTGAGAACAGTAAAACAAGCTATAAATCAGATATGTAAAATAAGATGAGATTAACAAAAACACCATCTTTTTAAAATATATTAAATATACTATAATATTATAATTAAATATATTATATTAATATATTATTATATATCTCAATTTTTATCTGGGCAAATCGAGAACAAAGTCATGCAATTTATCTTTGGTTGAAAATCGTTCAAGAATCCGTATAATTTCATCGACGAGGTCGCGGATGAGTTGCAAGTCACGCGTTGTTGAGATGCGACGATTTTCACGGCGACGAAAACTGACGGACGGATTTATTCGCGGTTCGTCGAGGAGAACGATAATAATATCCCCCGCGTTTCTCGACGCGACGATAATTCATCTGTGGAGTACCTGTTGGTCTGAGTCGCTCTAAACAGGATGTCTGGCCCCTTAATTGCGAGCTTCCTTGTGTCGGGACCTCGCCCCGCATTAACGCACTAACCCGACTCGGAAATGCCATTGACATTGTTGGTACTCGGCCAACAGGCGAACCTCCTGAAATCTCTCGCAAATTGAACGGTGAAAATGCTGCAAGAGCATTTTCTTGAAAAGATTAGACACGCTTTAGCATGCCAAGACGGTATTTGCTTTTCTTGACACGCGAGTCTCCGTTATCAGAACATGCTGTGAACTTTAAATACTTGAGCCTTCGAAAACATGCCTTTTATTTTTAACATGTAATATTTTTTCCGTTCAATTTTTTGAACAAAATGTTTCCTCAGAAGTTTGTGTAGTCTAAAAATACATTTTATTTCGGTACGTATTTATATTAGTATCATTAACGTTTCAGCTGAGATTTCCGAATAGATATACAAAAATAAGATATAACGTTTTCTTATTTATTCTTTATATGCAACTGAAGAATTTGAAAAAGAAACTAGTATATTGAATTAGCGATTAAAACGTATATTTACGTTTAATATACGTGATTTAAATTTATTAATAAATACAATATTAATTGGTTATTTTTTTTATTATTTATGGTTGAGCTTGAAGAATCAATTAATTTTAATTGCGATTATTTAATTATTTGCGAATATGTATTGAATGTCAACGATAAAACAGATCTCTGTTGACTTGAATCATGCCGGTATCACAGAAAACTAACAGATTCGCGTTGATACGAAGAATAGCTGCAATATCGGCTTTACTTTGATGTGTCATGTGGCACCCTCTAGCAATCAATTGATAGACGTGACTTTATTGATTTATAATTAAACCGCGTTAATTAATCAAAATATTGAATTATGAAATAATTCGCATTTATATTTATTTATCGGAATAATTTGTATCGTATTTATTGCGTCATGATTGCGACATTTTTTCTTATTTTTACACAAGCTCTTAGCTATAAAAATTATAATTTTTTTATTAATATAAAATGTAATATGTTTAGCCAATGTTATCGCTTAATTATTTTTTGATAATTATACGTTTTGAAATATTATAGAAGATATAGGAATAATATAGGAAAGTTGAAATAATATGTAGGAAAGATTTATTTTTAACGATGCAATTTCAATTTATGATACATGCATTACACAGATTGCACATTTATGCCAATATATTTTTACTTTTTATCGTGTTTGTGTACATCACTTTGCAAATTTGTGTAATTTTTAATGAACATCATAAATGTCCTGAAACTTTAAATTTGTTAGACTATATTTAACAGAAAGAAAAAACAATTATTATCACTGAACAAACAAAATATGTTAAAATCGACAGAATTGCTTGTTTTTCTTACGGCTCGTAATTTATTATCGCTATTACTCTCGTTAATTAACTGCCGCATTGTTTAAAGTGCATTTGCGTATTCCTGAGTTGCACTCTTCGTGACTGTTGCTATCTTGTACGATATTTAGTGTGGTCGCAAATATTCATGTATGCTAATTAACTCGAATTGTACAGTGAACCCGTTAATTAGCCATCTTAATGAACCGGATCTTGCATCGGCAGCAAGAAAGACCACGAAAAACCTCTCCGTAATTTTCACTCTCGCCGGAAAATTCTACGGCGACTGAACCCAAATTAAAGTGCGTATCGACATGATTGAACAGATCGAGCAATTAACTTCGTTATCCGGTTATCATGCTACAATTCCCTCACGAATTCAGTGAATCCATGCAAAAAGGCCAAAGCCGAACAACCAGCCCTTTGTGTACAATTTCGATGGGGGCAAATTTGACAGATTTTCGCGCGTGCCGAAAACGAGGGTTCGTTTGCCTTCCTAACTAGGCTCTATTTGTTCCTTCCGGTGCGCTTGGTATCAAAGGAGGATACGAGTTTTTTTTATGGAGAGAAGTTTGCGAGAGATTCTGTGCATTTTTTTTAAATTCCATTTTACAATACTTTTTATTTCATTTTATTTTCGTATTTTTATTTTATTTTTAAGTGCATTTCTTTATATAAAGGTTTTATTTTATGCATTTAATAATTCATGTTGCGGTTTGTCTTAAAAATTTTATTCTCTTTGTTGAACTTTTTCTTTTTAAAATGAACCTTTGTAGTAAAAATACTCATATTTTGTCGCTTTTTAAACATATAATTATTTTTATGATTAACAGAAATTATTTTTTTTTTCATTTGCAATTAAATGCGATTTTAAGTGCGGGATTACGGAAAAGAATTAGAGTAGAGACAACCTCTGTGTCTTAATGGAGAATGTGGGGTAAGAAATTAACGGCGACGGCACTTCCGCTAATTTTCTTCACGATCTTCCAAGCGAGTAACTCGTCGAAATTAACGACGTCTTTGGAGTTTCGAACGTGAATTTTATATGCCTTCGTCCCCATAAATTTCATTTTCCTTTTCTAAAATTTAAGTGAAGTACTTGAATGGAAGTTATAATTCAGAACAGAGTTTTAATAAATAATATTAAAGAGCTTCGTATCATGCTGGATGTTTCTAACAGTTTTTTATAAACAACAGATCAAGATTGATAACATAATGTATGTAAACAATAATTAAGCATAAACGTTTCGACCCCAATCGGCTCATTCTCAATGCTTTTATTAAACAAATGTTTTAATTAAAACTGATAACGAATAACGCATTTATAATACTCGCATGTTACAAATTTAGTTTCTTGAAGTAAGCAGATGCAATATGACCCAATTCCTGGAAGCAGTCTAATAAATCTTAGTTGTAGGTGTTTGTCATAGAAATCATCAAGGCGATTAAATTTTCAATGCTGTCATGTATGTCGTTAATAAAACTACTCTCAGCAATGATAGAATCAACCGATACAAGGAAATTTGTTAGAATATAGAAAAATGAAATTAAGAAAAATAGAAATTTCTTAGAATATAGAAATCCATAAAAGCGCTTTATATCTCTTGTAATAACTGTAGTCTATTGTTTTAGTGCATTAATGCTAAAAATATGACTGTAAAGTTCAATTTTATGTATTCTAATCCATTACACTAACGGAAAGTCTCGTAGCTAAGAAACTCAGATTTTTAATATTTATATATACAATATAAATCACCGAGTATAATGCAAGAAAGATATTTAATAATATTTTAAAGAAACATCCAAGCCTTATTAATATTTTTATAACGCGAAACATTGTTTTCATATTTCATTATATTATATTTGATGAAAATTACATGTTTTACAATTTTGAAAACTTTATAATATTATAATACTTAAAAAATAGCAACTATTAGTGTAACAAATATTATATAAGCTGGGCTCTCGTGATATGGGACAGCAATATAAGAATTGTATGTGATTTAGAATTCTGAACAAAAGGAGATGTTGTAGTATTGGCTCAAGAACTGTCACTGTTTACGGGACAGAATGTTTCCAGGGTTGACTACGTGAGCCGCGAAAGCATAGTAGGATTCGTTGTCTTCTTGTACGCGACGGTTTGTATAGTCAACTGGACTTTGAGGAGATAAAGATAAATCCCCAAAGCTGAAAGTCGGAAGTTGATCCATCGTGTTTGTCTTTGCGATATATCAGAGAAAAGTAGCTCTACAAAATCAGAAAGATACGTTTTCAGCTTGGTATCAAAACGGTTTCGCTTGATTGCGTTGGAATCTTAAGTAAAGGAATAAAAAAAAAATAAGAACACTGTTTACTTGTAAAATTTTATTTGCAAAATATATCCATGATGTAACAAGTGAAAAAATTGCTATTTTTATCGATTATATTATTGATACATTATGAAGGAAAATTATTAATTGTATTAATAAAGTAAAATTAATTTTTCTTTCTTATTATAGGATACAAAACTAATTTTTTTAATAAAATGTACAAATTTTAATTAGAAATATAGATACATACGGAGAAAATAAATATTTACTTATTGTTAGAATATAAAATGCAGTTATCTTTATTTTGTTTGAGAATTATACAATATTTTAGGTGCTAAAAGCCTAACTTTGCTTTCCGCTGTTTTAAAAGATAAGCTTCTACAACTTCTGCTCTTTATACATCGAAATAATTAGTGCGACTCCATTATCGTTGCTACGCTGTAAAAACACTCAAGAGTCTTAAATAAATATTTTTTTAATGATAGTCGTAAACAAGAAGTTCACGAATTATTTAATCGGAAACATCCGTGAATTTTTCAGATAGAATCGACCAAATAATAGCAACGTACAAAGTATTGACACGGCGTTATACGTACCCCAAGTGACAGGAAGTTAGTTTTTTCGTGAAAAGGTCAAAGATTGATTTGATATTTTCACCTCCGTTTCTTTATTTATTTCTATTTTTCTTTTTATTTCACTCTCCTCTTTTCTCCATTTAACTTTATTCAATATCGAATGCCAAACTTTGAAGTCAAATGCATAAAAGAAGGCGACGCGGCAACTGGAGAGTATGGAAAATTTCGTAGTCAAACGCTGGGAGCAAAATTAACCAAGTTAGTGGAAATCTCGGTCCTTCTTGGAGAGCTTTTT